TTTAATAAAAAAAAAAAAAAAAAAAAAGCAAGGGTCAGTTTGAGAACTAAGATGCACCTGACCAAGCCATGGTATTTTTCAGTCACCTGGTAGCGTAGTGGTTACAAATCGGGCTGTGAACCACAAGGTCAGCAGTTCAAAACTACAGGAGAAAGATGAGGCTTTCTGCTCCCATAAAGATTTACAGCCTTGGAAACCCTGTACAGGGTCGTTATGAGTCAGTTCTGACTCCACAGCACATAACCACCACCACCACCATATGCATGTAAAAGTTGGATGATACATAAAGAGGATCATAAATGAATCAATGCATTTGAATTATGGTGTTAGTAAAGAATATTGAAAGTACCATGGACTGCCAGAAGAACAAACAAATGTGTCTTGAAAGAAGTACAGTCAGGATGTTCCTTAGAAGTGAGGATGGCAAGACTTTATCTCTTGTACTTTGGACATGTGGTCAGAAGAAACCAGTCCCTGGAGAAGGATATCATGCTTGATAAAGTGGATGGTCAATGAAAAAGAGGAAGCCATCCAATGAGATGAATTGGTACAGTGGCAGCAACAATGGATTCTTCAAGCATAACAATTGTAAGGATGATGTAGGAGTGAGCAGTGAGTGATTCATGATGTTGTGCATAGAATAGCTGTGAGTCAGAACCAACTTGATATCATGATAAGCAACAAAACTACGTAACATCTAACAACAACAACAACTTATAAGAATACCACCTTTATCAGATACAAAATTCTCATATAGACAGGGGTCTTTTGATATTTTTCTTTTTAACTTGTGTCTAATCACTTTGTTGGTGAGGATTCTGTATTTACATTATGTAACCTGCAATACTGACTTGTTTGCATTCCAATACCTGGAGCACTTGTTCCATTTTCTTGTCTTATTGGGTTAGCTAAATTAATTAATTTAAATTATGTGGAACTTGATTGGTGTGAATGACCATCACATTCTTAAGCCTGACTTCACAGGAATCATTTTACCTTGATACTATTACGTTTTCTATAATTTTCGTTATCTTGTTTAAGAAATTCCCACTTCATTTTTTTATCATAATGACTTCTAAATTTTACCAGTGGCTTTCCATAATTGATAAACAATATGTTGATATAACCATATATGGCCTTTGCTCTAAAGGTTTCATTTTAAGCTCTTATGAACTAATATATACTTTTTTGAAAGATTTTGTTGTTGTTAAGTACTGTGGAGTCAGTTCGGACTCACAGAGACCCTGCACAGGGTTTCCGAGGCTGCAAATCTTTACAGGAGCAGAAAGCCTCATCTTTCTCCCATGAACATCTGGTAGTTTCGAACTGCCGACCTTGAGGTCAGCAACCCGATTCGTAACCACTACGTCACCAGAGCTACTTTTTGAAAGATAGCACTATTCAAAAAAAGCTGTCAACAGACATTGATCCTTACTTAGCTTGAATGAAAGCACAGAAATCAGGATTCACAGCATCGAGATGGAGATGATATAGAATATCAAAGACACAAAAAGATTCAGACTAGGCAAGACCCAACTGGTTTTAAACCAGAACTTTGAACCCATTTTCATTCTGTTTCAACCTCCTGCTATAGTGAAACAGAATCTACATTTTAACAAGATCAGCAGAGAGTTGAAGGAGAATGACCATATGCAAAGTCCTGTTCTTAACTGCCTATAGATTGATGACTTAGTAAAAACAGACTACTGCAATTTCTCCTTTGACCTCTGTTTATACTCTGTGCTGCTCAGAAGATCTTCTATCGTCCTTGTTTTTATTCCCACAATCTGTGTTCACAGAGTTCCTAACCTAGTCTTTGAGGTTCAAATTAGACATTACCTCTTCCTGAGTCTTCCCAGAAATTCCAGGTCCACCATCTCTCAAATCCCTACTTCTTATAATCACATCATTTTGTATGAACCCCACAGTGGCAGGAATTGCTTACTTTTTCAGTATGTGTACATTTTGTTTATATTTGTAACCCCAGTGTCTGGCAGAGTGCCTGGTATACAATGGGTGCTCAATAAATGCTAAATGAAGTCTGACAGAATAAAGGGTGAGCTGCCACTCTTTACCCTGCGGGTCCTTCCCTCACCTCCGGGACTGACACCTTTCCAACCAAGCTCCTGCAGGGTGGACTCCGCTTCAGCAGAGGGCATCCAAGACCCCTCACCAGGCCCGGAAGCCGTGCTGCCAGCCATGGGAAGACTACACTTCCCAGCGATCCTAGGGAAAAGCGAAAACCTTTTGGCTTTGACAGCCGCCGCCACAAGTCTTTCCGCCTCCCCAGCCTGCCTGGGAGCTGGATTTTGGTGGTCTGAGCAGCAAACGTAGCCGCAGGAGCCCGGAGCCCCGGCCCCTTCCCACCTTGCAGCGCCCACCAGGAGGACAAGGAAAGCAGACGCTGCCGACCTGCCCTGGGTGCCCCTCCCAGCCTCCGGAGGGGCCCGATCCGCCTTCTCCTGGATGACTGCTGAGGCTGGACACCGCTGTCTGGATGTAGCGGGCTCCAGGATCCGTCTCTGTCTGCGGATTTGTCCTCCCCGCTAGCCACAGCCGGGACTTGGGGGCTGGCTGAAGGGCCTGCAGCTACTGGAGTCCTGATGCCTCAAAGCTCACTTTTCTGAAGCGCCTTCGCCACCAGCACCCAGAGTTGGGGGTAATAGGCAGCAGGGACCGACGTGGGCCCGAGAGAGCCCAGCGGGCCTGCAGGCCCAGGCCACCATGGCTCCGGCCCTACCCTGGCTCCTGCTGTGGGTGGGCTCAGGCGTGCTGCCCGCCCACTGCACCCCATACGGCATTCGGCTGCCTCTGCGGAGCGGGCTAGGTGGGTCCCCCCTGGGGCTCCGGCTGCCCCGGGACACTGATGAGGACCTGGAGGAGCCCAACCAGAGGGGCAGCTTTGTGGAGATGGTGGACAACTTAAGGGGCAAGTCGGGCCAGGGCTACTACGTGGAGATGGCTGTGGGCAGCCCCCCACAGACGGTAAGATCGCTAGTTCGACGACCCTTCCCCCCACTTCCCGCATGAGCAGAGGGAGACAGAGTGGGAATGCAGCTTACTGGTCCCCTGCTCAAATGGACCGGTAAGTGCAAGCAGTAACTGTAGCGGGGAGGGGCACCCACACACCCTCCCAAACCATTGCTAGGGTTCAGCTCAGCAGAAGTCATCCCCAAAGCTCCTATTTCCCATTAGGGTACCTCCCATGGCTCCTCAAGCCCCTTGTCTGACTGCCCTTCCTTCACTCCAATCTTACACACATACTCCTCTGTAGGCGTATAGGGGACAAGAACTACCCCAATGGTGGAAACATGAGTTGGGGCAAGGAGCCAAGCCAGAAGATGCAGTGAACGGGTGTCATCCACCCTCTGATGCTGACCAACTCTGAGTCTCCCTAATCCCACCTCTGGGGATCCAACCACCCAACTCTCTTCCAGTTCTCTGGTCTTCTGGTCAATGTAGGGTTCTAACCATCAATTCCAGCCCCTTAAGGATCAAAGAATCCTGGGCACATGTTGGACCATCCCCTTTCACACACTTTCTGGGCTGCCACAGGGACAGCAAATTAAGTTGCCAAGGTCCCCCCTAACCTCCACTGGACTCTGAAGCTTGGGCACACTTTTGCCTTTTCCACCTCCTCCTCTTTTCCTTCCCTTCCCACACTGCTCTCAGCCCCTCCCCCATCCCTTGCCCTCTGAACACTGACTGGAGGGGAACTGGACTGAGTATGGGGGAAAGAACAAATGGTAGAAAAGAAGCCAAGAGCCTTCTAAAAATGGTATGACTTCCACAAGCTGATAGGTGCTGTGTGTTTGGGTGGAGGGATGAAAGCGTAGGGAAAGCATTTCCAGCTCTCCGCATCTTTCCTAACAATCCTCCAAGACACCTCCAAGGTGGCTGGTGGTGGCTGTGCCCCTGTACCTCTGTGGGTGGCTGTGGGAGTGAGGGCAGGAGCAGCCCTCTGTCAGTGGTGGGGGTGGGGGTGCTGTATCTGACCTCTGTGTGCATTTGTCTCCTCTGTGAGTCCCGGCAGGGTGGTGGCATGGTCCTTTGTATAATTGTGTGCGTCACCTTGAGTAGGAGCTTGCACATCTCTCAAAGCTACGCCCCCACCACCCCAGCTTCTGTGTCTGGTAAGCCTGTCCTTGGGAGGGGCTGTGAAGGTGGGAATGTGTTTAGGCATTGAGAGAACAGCCACACTTCTATGAACTTCTCATATGGCTCTCTCACTATATCTGGGAGAAGCAGAAACCTCTACCTCCCAGTTACCTGACCAGAAATGAGCCTTCCCAGGACCACGCTACTTAGGTCTACCTCTTCAGGATGCAAAGCACTGGTCTCCCCTCTTACCCTTCCTGTTTGCTGTGCACCATGAGTCCCCCAAAACTAGTCTATGATTGGTGTATGGAGTCAGGACAGAGCCTGCCCTTAGCAGCCTGAGCCAACAATCTGGGAGTAGAGAGATGCAGAGCTCTGGAATCTGCTCCTGTTTCTGCTACTGGTGTATTTGCAAACTGTTCATAGATACTATGACATGCATGCAGCTTAGAGCTGCAAAACCAGCAAGGGCTTTGGGGTCAGACAAACCAGAAGTCCCAGTGTTTCCTTTTCCCAACTGTATGGCCTATAGAAATTCTATATGCACTCTGAGGCTTGTCCCTTATCTTTAAAATGGGTGCAATGAGATCTCCTTGGCCAGTTGCTGTGAGAATTAAATGAAACCGTGTAAGTGAAAAAGGAGCTCTGGTAGTGTAGTGGGTTACGAGTTGGGCTGCTAACTGCAAGGTCAGCAGTTTGAATCTACTAACTATTCCGTGGGAGAAAAGATAAGGGTTTTTGATCCTGTAAGAATTTACAGCCTCAGACACCTTATACAGTGTCCCTATGAGTTGGAAGCGACACCACGCCACCACCATGTAAGTGAGAGGAGCTTTAGTGGCACAGTTAAGTGGTTAAATACTCAGCTGCTAACAAGAAGGTCAATGGTTCGAAACCAACAGTTGTTCCATGGGAGAAAGAAGCGGCAGTGTGTTCTGTAACATTTACATCCTTGGAAACCCAATGGGATAGTTCTTCTCTGTCTTAAAGGGTCACTGTGAGTCAGAATCAACTTGATGGTAATGGGCGTATCAAATCTAGAACAGTGCACCTGGACAGCTTGACCTCAAGTCACTATTAAGTCACGTCTCCCTTAACACGTCTGGCCACTTCCTCCTCTTCTGTGCTACGCAATGAAGCATAACAATTTGGTTTTCCTGGGCCTCTGTGTTATTTATACACATGTGGAACTGGGGGACTGGTTGTTGTACTTCCCTCAGAAAGATGGGCTTAAAGTTCAACACCAACCCAACGGAGACCACAGTTAAAACAAACTGTGGATTGCTCTATGGTTCTAACTCAGGCCAACACCAGCCAGAATTTCTACACTGTGCTAATTTTTATTTTCTCCCCAACAGTCTATGAGAAGGATGCTTTTTTTCTCCCTACCTGGTATTACTGTTCAAAGCTTCCCATGAGAATATAGTGGCAGAGTGCTGTGAACAAGTAAAAGTGAAATTTGGGATGAGCTTTCTGTGTGTTGGGGTCCCTGAGTGATGTAAATGGTTAACACTCAGATACTAATTAAAATGTTGGTAGTTCAAGTAAAGCAGCAGCACTTCAGAAGAAAGGTCTGGCAATCTACTTCTGAATGAATAATCAACCACTGAAACCCCTAGTGCCTTTCTACTCTGACAAACATGTGATCACCATGAGTAAGTGTTGACGCTATTTGAGTAAATGTTGACGCTATTGCAACTGTTGATTTTTCCCTGTGCACTGGGGTATAGGAGCTGATCCACAAAGAGACAGAAGATAACTTTTCTGTCCTAAAAGAACTTAGTGTGAAGAGAACCTGGACATACTAGTAAAAAACACAAAGGAGTCTCAAAAAGTTCAGGGAAAAATTCCATTTTTTTTTTTTTTTAATCACATTTTTCCATGAACTTTTTAAAACTGTTTTTTATCCCCATGAACTAGTCTAAAGCAAGGTGATCCAAAGCAGTGTGCTCACAGTGAGGCCTTCAAGGCCCTGATCATGAGAGTCTGTGAGAAATGTAAATTCTCCGCCTCATCCCAGACCTCCCAAATTAGGATCTTGAGAAAAAGGGAAACCAGCAGTCTGTGTTTCAAATTTGAGAAGTATTGATCCGTATGTTGTTGTTAAGTGCCACCAAGTTAGTTCCAACCCATAGCTACCCTGTATAGGGTTTCCAAAGAGTGGCTGGTAGGTTTCAACAGCCGACACTGTGGTCCAACACATTATCCTGCAGCACTACATTAGGACTCCCACTGATCCATATAGTGGTACATGAAGTGAGTGTTCTAGGTGTTCAGAATGTTGGAAAAATTAGGGAAGGCCTTATGGAGGTCATGCAGCCTGAGCATGGTCTTAAAGGATGGATGAGGTAGGGAGTGGGGGAGGCCTTTCTCAGTACCTATCCTACCGTACTGTCACTGCCTTGACTTGTATGTTTCCTTCCTACTTTATCCCCCGTAGACTGGGAGAGGCCACAGGAGTGAGAGGAATGAGTTATGTACATTTGGGCTTATGCATGTTTGTACAGGGGCAGTGAAAAAACTAGTTCAGTTAATGCTACAGGTTTGTGTTGAAGCCGGATACATTTAAGTAAATAAGACAGAACCAAATTGCCAAAAGTCTTAAATGTCAAGTTAGAAGGTTTGGACTTTGGTCCTTAGAGATAGGGGGGAATTGAATTGTGTACGTGTGTGTGTGTGTGTGTGTGCATGCAGGGGAATGACATAAAGAATGCAATCTTTTAGGAAGAGAGACATCTGAATCTGAAGCTGAGAGCAGCTAGAGGCTCTGTCACATTCAACAGATCCAGGTGTGAGGCACTAGGATACTGATAGTACGAGACTGTTATCAGATAGAAAGGAAGATGGAAATGCAAGGGATGTTGCAAGGCAGATGGGCAGGACTAAGTAACATTGGTGTGAAGGGTGAGGGAGAAGGTGTCACATGATGACTTTGAGATTCTGATCTGGGTTGAATTAACTGGAGGATGACAAGATTCCTTAGTGGGAATAACAAAGTAGGGGATGTTGTAGTAGTAGTTGTTGTTGTTAAGTGCCGTCGAGTCAATTCTGAACCTTTATAGGGTTTCCAAGGAGCAGCTGGTGAGCTTGAACCGTGGACTTTGTAGTTCAAATGGCTTTGCAGTCTAGCTCATTAACCCACAGCGCCACACCAGGACTCCAGTTGTAGAAGTACTGGCATACAAATTTGTTGTTGAGTGTCGTTGAGTCGGTTCTGACCCATAGCGACCCTGTATAGGGTTTCTAAGGAGTGGCCGGTGAGCTTGAACCACTGACCTTGCAGTTCAAACTGACTTTGCAACCCACAGCGCCACACCAGGACAAATACATACTTGTAATTATGGTTGCTGTTTATAAAGACTTCTTTTCATATATTCTACATGAATTATTTTGTTCTTTACAGCAATCCCTGTAATATACATGGGTAAGTAAAAAAATAATTGCTCCTAAGGAGCTCTGGTAGCGTAGTGGTTACGAATCGGGCTGTGAACCTTAAGGTCAGCGGTTCGAAACTACCAGCCGCTCCGCGGGAGAAAGATGAGGCTTTCTACTCCCGTAAAGATTTACACCCTCGGAAACCCTGTACAGGGTCGCTATGGGTTGGACCCGACTCTATGGCACTTAACAACAACAACAACAAGGGTTCCAGTTCATACATGCACGGGGTTTATTCCAAACCAAATGTGCTTCCGTATGTCTTTGTGATCAGTGAAGGACTGCAGACAAGCTCTCTCAGTAATAACACTTATCTTAGTCTCATTAGAGTCTCTTCAAAAAAAGACCCAATCAAAACAGTGGCTTACAAAGGGATCTGCTGGAGCAGTTAAATTCAAGGCAGAGAGGTCAGCTCAGAAGTTTATGACAACTGTTTTATTATTATTATTCCA